TATTAATATTAAATATTAATATTAAATCCAATCCGTTTTTCTGTTTTGGTAACAGAAAAATAACTACCCTCTTCAATTTTTCCTCTTTATTTTCCCTCTTTATTATTGAGTAAATGGCCATTTATGTAATGGCATTTATGTTGTGGGCGTTTTGCATAAACAGCCATTCTGAAGAGACCCAACTTTGGCTATAAATACAACACTATTCTGCTCAGAATTTTAACTACAATTTTCTGAGTTTCCTCTCCTTCTTCTGCATACTTTTAGCATCAAAACAAAGCAAAAAGTAAGTGTGATTTGCTACCGAACTTTGTGTTCGCTGAAACACTGGGGTTTGAAGTACCACTACACCAGTGTGTAATTCGTTCTATCCTGAGAGGAAATAATCCATAACCTTGGGTACTAGGAGGGGATTAAATTCCTTAAGGAAACACTATGAATTCAGTGGGCTCGAATTGGTTTATGTCATTTCTGTTTATATTCATTACTGTTTATATTCATTTATATTTCCATAATTTATTTTACAAATACAGTGTAATAACAATATATATATATATATATAGGCTTTAAAATGCAAGAGGCAACGCTGATCAAATTAATGAATGATGAAACTGAGTGTATATCTGGGTCTGAAGAAATTAGGATCAATGCAACTTTGATTGATCTCCAATGGCCAAGCACAGTGTCTGATTGCTGTTTTCTTTGTTATGCTTCTCTGTGTTGTTTTTCTTTCTTTTCTTCAAATTGAAAAATTCAATTAAGGAAGTGTTAGCACAAAATGAATCCAGACCCTTCATATTGTTATTGTACACATGTATAGAACATCACTGGAGATGGTAGTATTTTTTGGAAAAAATGTCCAATGAAATTGCGGCTACTCGCTCACCATTTCTGGGGAGAGTAGTATTTTTATATAGTTTTGATCTTATCTTTCACAATTTATTTATATTTCATCGTCCTCAAGTTATCATTTTATTCAAAAATATTATCATATAAGCAAACTGTGCACACTAAGAGAAGAGGAGACATGTTCTCAATTACTATCACAAGAAAGCCGTCCCTATCTTCTTAAGGTGTCCGTCACTTCGTTCTTACCTTCTTGGCTTTAAGTTCTATCTCTATAAGATAGAACTTAAAGTTGAAAACTAGATTTGAGTATAATTTAATGTGAAATAATTATTTTTCACTTACAAAAAACTAATTTTTTTCCAAATAGGAGTAAAATTTATGTCCAAATGAAATTTTAATTTTCATTTATATATTTGAACTTCAACTTATCAACAAGGGTTGTGGTGGAGTGGTAAGTACTCCTTCATCCTTAACCAGCGGTCTCGGGTTCGAATCCCTAGGTATAGAGTCGCCTTTGTTAGGGAGCACTTTACCCCCAATGAGGGACTTCCAGGTGCGAATCCGGATTTAGTTGGGCCCTAATAATGTGGGTACCGAACACCGAGTGAAAAACCCAAAAAATAACTTTCAGCTTCAAACTATTCATTCTTTCAGTTTCAACCAAATGCTATCCAAACGGGCAATAGTTTTTTGGAGTAAATTTTGAATACAAACAGAAATTATCTGCAAATCTTTTAACCCCCACCACACTCAAAAGGATAGTGTTAGATTGAATTAATTCCGCATGCGACGCCTGACCACAACCAAATTCGTAAGTTGAAAATACATATTATAATTTCATAGTTGATTGATATAATTAATGACATTCTAGAGATAGTCCATGCTGCCACTCGAAGAGAGTTTATGGCAATAATTTTAGCAATTTCAAGTTGCAACTTAGGCGCCGCCACCTTTGACTAAATTTTCTAATTTGCCAAGTAATTGTAGCTGGCTTTGCCTGACAAAGACTAGTACTAATAATTGCTTTATGAATCTCAATTATGTAACTGAGAACGGGATTTTAAAAAAAAAACTTTTAAATCTTTGGATCTAGAACAAGTTATAAATATTTGTGTTGTTTTATAACATCTTTATTAAGGCTAAATAAAAAATCTTAAACTAAATTATAGTTAAATATATAAAAGTATCATTTTTATTCAAACTAATATCATCACATCAATAGAGACAAAAGAAAAAGTATCTAATAGTACTTTTATTGTCAAAGCTACTTAATTGATAGAGGATGGACCTTCCACATTTAATAGTAGGGATAATTTCACATAAATACAACTCATACACCTGACTTACAACATAATAGCCTAGATACCACTTTGCAAATCTATAGTCCAAAAAATAATAGGCTAATTCCCGAAAGACAGCTTATTTTGTTCCCCCTGTATACAACCAGTTGTTTTCATTCTGTTGATTTCCTTTGATTATTAAGCATTTGATAAAAAAATGCAAATCAGTCACAAGGCAACTCAAAAATCCTGAATAATACATATTATCTGAAGGTAAGAAATTCAAACACTTTTACGTGCAATTGCTGAAGCAATCCAACAGGATAAAAGAAAAATAAAAACTTGGTAAATGAATTGTAGAATCCCTCCAACGCTCATACAACACATTACACGAAAAAGAAGAAGAGAAGGAAGTGTCAAACTTCTGTAGAGGCCTCTTACACACTAACAATGTATATACATCCTTATAAACTGAAAAAATATATAATTATACAATATTATACACAAATATACATATTTATACACAATTATACAATACTGTATAACTTTGTATAAACATGTATAATAGTGTATAAGAGGTGTTTGTATATCCATATACACAACTATACACTAGTATACAGTGTTGATACAAACTGCTACATAGTTATGATTTTTATCCAAACCCAATTTCAGATTCGAGACTTCAAGGTCATAATAATAATGACCAGAACTTCAAACTTCAAAATCTTCCAACATTAGGGGTTATTTTTTGGTGCAAATCAAGTTTGAGAGCTATTTATTTTCAGATCTGTGTGTATTTTCATGTTTCTTTCAAAAATCTTCTTCATTCTTCTGCTTGCCACCATGGACGACGGAATCTTTCTTCGAGCCTTCTTCGAGCCATTAATGGCAAAACTGCGTGGGGGGTAGAGGAGGGGGAATAGCCGGGGCTAGATTAAGAGAGGATGAGGAATCTATGTGGGTTAGAAAGAAAGAAGTGAGAGGCGGTGAGAGAGAGAAGGGAATGAAGAAAGAAGAAAATAATAAAAACCCTAAAAGTATGTCTTTAATAGTGGGCTAAAGGCTGAAAAGTTTTTTTCAAGTTATGTACAATATGGGCTAAATAGGGTAAGAGCTTCAAATGTGGGCCATTTTCGGTTGGGCTATTAGTCAAGTGACATGAGCTGTAATTCTTTCTTTAAGTATGTCCAATATCTAGAGGGTTCAACTTAAGGATAATAATTGATGTCAGGGATTCATTAATTGCTCTAATTAAAGGAGGAGAAATAATACTATTTAATTACCGTTTTCAGTATGTAGTAATATTATTCTATACCTATAAATAGAGGAAGTTTATGTTCTGTGTTCCATCCAAGCCTGTGCTTTCAGTCCTTTATCTATTTCTACAATATCTCATATTCAAAGTTTCCAATGAAGTTGCAGCTACTCTACTCGATCTCCATTTTTTTGGTGAGTAGCATTTTTTGTATAGTTTTCGTCTTAATACTTGCAAAAGCACTAAAAAATTTAAGGGTCCTTATACAAATAGCATGCCAGTTTTACTATTTATTTTTCTGGATCTATGATTATACACATATTATATATGAATGATATATATATTATATATTATCCGCCTATTTTAATTTAAGCGATTAATGGACGATTATTTAGGTTAGTTCTTCAATTTTAAAGGAGCTTTGAAGAAAGTTTAATTATTGTAGGATACTTCAGTCAACTTATATCCCCATTCTCTTGGACAAATCGAAGTATCTAAAAATTTAAAAGCTTCATTATATTCATTGTTTACATGGAAGCTAGATACTAATATCAAAAAATTGTTTCTTTTTGAATGTAGCTTGCTTTTGTATCATGTGTATGTTATGCAGCTATATCTCCAGAGGTTTATTGGAAAGTAAAATTGCCCAACACTCCAATTCCAAAAGTCATCAAAGATTTGCTTCCTCAAGCAGGTTAGTCTTAATTCAAAAGGGGTATTATTTTGTTTCAAAATGAGTAAAGTTTAGTGACGACACGTTAACTTATTCCTGGTTTTTACATGTTGAGTGAAAGCACAACATTTCTATAACTTCCATTATATGTGTCGTTTGACTTGTCTTCCAAATATGTCTCTATGCATGTCGTTGTGACTTAATTATATTTGTATCATTGGGTGTTTTTAAGCTACTTTAGCTATGGTCAAAAGTTTAATTATCTGGTATATTTATTTAACTTCTTTGCAATTTTATGTTTATAGCATAATAGTTTTACCCCTCTATTATACTTCATTGCACTTTTTATCTCTGTTATATTTCCAACTTTACATATTTATTCATCAGAGTTTATAGATTTAATTAGAAAAAGCCAAACTAAATTAATTACCTATATTGCTCAATTAAACTACTACTCATATATGACCACTACATGATGTTTCCAAGTGAACATATCACTTCCTCTGTTCCAATTTATGTGAACTTGTTTGACTAGGCACTGAAATTTGTGGTCCTAAACAAGTCAAAAAGGGGTCCAGAGTATTTGTGTGGCTGTAAAAGCTTCTCATTAAGGATAGAATTGAAAGTTAAAGCTAAATTGTTTCCAAATTTAGAAAGGGTCAATTCTTTTTGGAACGGACCAAATAGGAAATAAGTTCACATAACTGGAACGGAGGGAGCACATGTTAATGTTTCTAGACCTCATTCTAAGAGAAAATAATAGTTTTAGTACATGTTTCTAGACCTCATTTCTAAGAGAAAAATGACTCTCATTATATTGCAGAGGATGACGTTCACACTAAAGAAAAAGTTTACTATGGTTTACACCAGCATGGAGCCTGGATTTTTCATGATGCTACCGAGGATGAGATACGTGAGATCAAAAAGCAAAGCCCAAACGTGAATGAGCTCCAACATGTAAATGAAAGAAGCAATGCCAACAGTCATTTTCAAGATAATTTGCTTTACAAACCTTACTTCTTAGAAAAGGATTTGGAGAAAGGAAGAGTCATCAACTTTCCCTCTTTGAAAAATAAAAACGAAGCACCCTTTTTGCCTCGCCAATATGTGGAATCGATTCCCTTCTCGTCGAAAGAACTCCCAGAAATTCTGAACCATTTCTCAATAGATAGTAGCTCAAAGGATGCTCAAACAATAGAGGAAACAATCAAAGTTTGTGAAGAGCCAGCAATGAAAGGAGAGAGGAGAAAGTGTGCAACTTCTTTGGAGTCTATGGTAGATTTCAGCTTATCCATGCTTGGTACAAACAATATTCATGTATTTACAACAGAGGTACAAGGGGAAAATCAAATGTTGCAGAAATACACCATTGAAGAAGTTCAACAGTTAGCTGATGGGGTTAACATGATATGCCACAAACTTAATTATGCATATGCAGTGCACTTTTGCCATGGTGGAGGAATTACAAAGACATTTATGGTATCTATGATTGGTGCTGATGGAACAAAGGTCAAAGCAGTATCAATGTGCCACAAAGATACATCTCTTTGGAACCCAAAAGGATTACCTTTTGTAGTGCTTAAGGCTAAGCCTGGAACTACCGGTATTTGTCATTTCCTTCAAGATGATCAGATTGTTTTTTCTCCCTTCTAAAGAAGTCTAATAAAGGTTTAATCCAGTCCTGGATCGTAAATATACTTACTCGTGCTAGGTGTTTACACCGAATTAAGCAATTCAACTTTAGCAGTTAAAGCTAAAGCGATAGTAGATGTATGTGTGTATGAAGAATGCATAAGTTTGCATTCATAAGCTTTATACCATCACACTGTTTGTCTTAAAGAGTCTGGTTACTGTTTCTCGGTAGGTGCCTTTTTCTTTCTGTAATGTATCTTTATCATAATAATCAATGAAAATGATTCTGGCGTCAAGGTATTTTTTGGATGTGGCTAGTTGGAATAGAGCTGCCCCACATGTGGGATTATACTTGGTATGTTTGTTGTTGTTGTAGAGCTGTCATATGCAAGCTTATGTGGAATTTGTGTACCAACAAAAAGACACCTTTTGGGTAAATAGGTTTACACTTGCTATATAAAAGAGCAGCAAGTCTGAAATATTGCACCAAAACAAGCCTCATAGGTAGTGCAATGACCTATGACAATATGGCAAGCTGAGTTTCAGGCAATGACAATGTTCTCTATTAAGATGTATGTCAGGATTAGAGGTGTTTTCCAACAATGGGTTTGAGTGTTACCACAAATTAAAACGTCCTCTATGTATTACTGAAACTGAAAATATAGCACATCTATTCTTTCAATGTTACTTGTCTGCAAATATATGGAATAAGACCTTACAATGTAAATAGGACGGCGTTAGACTGGCATATTGAGTTGAAGTGGGCTGAGATCTACGCAAAAGGGAGAGAAGCTGAGGCAACGGTGTACAGAACGGCTCTAGTAGCACGCTTGTACTACATCTGGAGAGAAAGGAATCTCAAAATATTTCACAAGAAGCAATTGTCTCTCATAATTGAGCAGCTCAATCGCGCACCTGCTACTGGTTTCCAACAACATACGCAGTTAGGTTATGGGTGCAGAAAAATAAAGGAGAAAAAGTAAAGGGAGAAAAAAGTCGTGAAGTATTCACGAGAAAGAATAGGGAGTTAAAAAGCTAAAGAACAGTTAAACATGGATGTAAATTTTAGATGGTTCTCGTAAGCGAGCATCTTTCTTTGGTTGTATGTTTAAATCAATCCTAAGGTTATTCTTTGAGTTCAAATCTAACATGGTCAAAGAGTTCAATGATAGACCTTGATTAGCTAATTTTCCGTGGAAGTGTTGTTATTTGTACACCAGAAACCATATATGTAATAAAACTATTTTTAGATGAAAAAGCTTAACAATTGACTCTTTTTCACGTGGAAGTGAAAACTCCTTTTTTTCGAGTTTGAGCCCAATAGTAAATCTTTAAGTAAATACATCATATTTTCACCAACTTAACAGACATCAGTGCTTGTTCTTATTCGATATGAAAACATAAAAAATTGAACTATGGTAGTAAGAAAGAAGAAAAGAAAGTGGAAACCGAAGAGAAACCTGTGATGCACTTCTGTGACAAATAGAAACTTAGGAACTTCAAGATTAGATTGAGATGAGAGAATGATTGCATATATTTCCTGAAAGCTGAAGAAACATGCGATTAGCTCCCTACCGATGAGATAGAATTAGTAGTCATAATGTTTGCCTTTTAACATATGGCGCCATTATTTATATAATCGTAACAAATGAAATTGCGAAAAATTCAAGCTAAAAAGAGATGGTTACGTCATTCCAGGATTATGACTTATTTTCTACCATTTGGGCAAGGACTATGTGGTGACAGAAGCTTTGAGCCGAATCTCAATGGACAATCTATCCCACTCTGCTCTTACAAAGAGTGTCAATTGGTTTTTTGGCACTTCAAACTTATTTTTAGTTTTATGATCCTACCTTCTTTTTTTTTTTAACACATGGGAGATATACTTTTACACATCAGAAATCTGTCTCTTACACATAAGAGATCTAAATAGTCATTTTTTTAAATTCAAAATTATAATTGGACATGATGTACCAATAGCTAGATGGGTGTCAAATGAACAGGGCTAATTTTGAACGAGTCAAAACGGACCGAGTCAATAAATGAGGGGTTATCACTTTAGCTGAAATGGACTGGGTCAAGAAGGGTTAAAATATAGATCATAGCCAAGGCCGCCCAACTCTTACTAAGCTTTAATTAATGTGTGCTATTTCCTTACGAATGATTTTGTCAAATAGAAAAAAAAATCTTTTGTTAATGGTCATATATAACTAATCAAACAAAAAATAATTATTATAAAGGTAAAATACATGGACAGCCCCCTAAACTAGTTCATACTGCATTTGGACACTTCATTTAGACACTTCAACTGAGACAAACACCTAAACTCTATCCGGAAAAAAAATAAAGTGAAGTGGCAAAATAGACGATAAATGAGAAAAAGTTTTTGGTAGGAACACATACGCATTCTATCCCGCAAGATCTGTTTTCTTAAGCATGTTTCACGCATAACCTGACCCCAACAGCGAGCGCCAAATTTCGTAGGGATAGGAGATGCATATAATAGCTCTACCATTTGTGAGCACGTGATTTTTGCCACGCTTAAATTACTCCTACAAAATTCCTTAGAATTAGGATTTTTCTTTATTATTTGAATTTTTAGGAATTAATTGCATGATTTTGTGCCTCGTTTGTATTTTTTGTGTGCATTTTTAGTTGCCATAATTCATAAAAAAGGGTACAAAAATAGTGCATTCGCATTTAGAATTCGATTTTGTACTTTTAGTTTTACTAGTTAATCAATATTACTAAAATAAGAGAAAAATAACAAAAATTAATTTTTTACATCTTTGTTCTTTTAATTTCACTATTTGTTTAATTTTCCTTTTAAGATTAGGATCTAGTTAATTTAGGAAATTTAATTAGTCTCATTTAGAATTAAATCAGGTTTTGGCTATTTTTTTAATTTTATATTTTGTAAAATCTGAATTTCAAATAAATAAAAGGAAAATAAGAAAATAAATAAAAAGAAATTGAAATAAGAAGCAAAAAGGTTGGACAAATTTTTGGGCCATTATCATGCAAAACCACAAGCCCAAATGCAAGATCCCTTCCAAAACCGGACCAACCGCCCAGTCCAGGCCCAAAAACACCCCACCCATTCCAGTGATTTAATGCCCAAAACGACGTCGTTTCATAGGCCTTCAATCTTGACCGTTGGATCTCATCAATCCAACGGTCCGGAACTAACCAGGATGTCTTGTATTTAAATGTCGGATTCCCCCCCTCCCCCCGCCCCTCAATCGCCTCTCAAAACACCTCCATACACACCGGCGTAACGCTACCGCTTCCCCGCCGTCCCCCACCGTTTGCCGCCGGCCGGAAATCGCCTCCGCTGGCGGCGATTGTCCAACGGCCATGAAAATCACACCACTACTTCACCTCCTTTTCCTCATTACGGATCTAGCCTTGTTTTCCCTCAAATCACATCCTAGCTTCTCGAATATTCGAATCAGTGGTCGCCGCCTCCGCCGCCCACGGCGGCGCCACCTCCAAATCCCACCCAAGTTACACCCTGTACCCTCCTCACCTTCCTCTTCTCAAATCCTCATTTATTTTCCCTCAAATATTCCTCCAGCGCTTCGAATTTCAGATCGAAAATTCAGGCTTAGAACCCTAATTTTGCAAAATTGGGGGAATTCGAGTTCTGGGCTATAATAGCCCTTAATCATGTGTGTTCTTATGAAAACACATGATTAAGAGTGATTATAGTCCCAAATCACTCCAGGAGGTTAACCCTAATTCGATCCGAGTTGGAAATTGCAAGGTACTTTATTTTTCCTCACTTTCTTTCCCATTCATGATTTCTTGTGCTTGTTCTGTTATTTCTTTTTCTCTTATCAATTTTAGTTTTATTTTGGTGCTTGACTTAGGTTCTGATCACGTAGTTTGATTCCTTTTCCTGTTTTTGTTTGTGTATTCGATTTCAATTATAGGATCCATGTTCGCTACTGATTCTCTTTAGATTTTCTTTTAGGGTTATAGTTTTGTCCCTGGTTGATCCCTTATTTGCTGATTTTGATTTTCTTTAGGCTTTATTCATGTTCTCTATTTTTACAGTATAACTTCATGTTGAATTTGTTGACTTGTTCAGTTATTGTTTCATTAATGCAGTGATAAAATTAGTCTTGGGGTATAGTATTGATTAGAATTAATTCAGGTTCTAGCTAGGATAATCAGGCTGTTAGTTCAATTTTGGAAGGGTATGGTTAAAATTGAAATTGGTTTGGTTATAGCTGAATATTCTCAGCCCTTAGTTGTATGGTCATTTTGACCAAGTTCAAAGGGGTTAGGGGTTGGTTTGACTAGGTTGGTAATTTCAGAATAAATTAAGGGTAGTATAGGTAATTCAATAAAAGGAATAATGCAGTAACTGAAATTGGAAATCACTAGAACCTTCTAGAGGGGGTTTTAATTTGAAATTCAGAAAGTTAGTAGTGCTACTTGGCCAACAAGGCATAAAATAAGGGGTTTAAATAGTTAAAATCTGAAAATTAATAAGGGACTAAGGTGTAAAGGGAAAATTTAAAAGTTGCCCTAATGTTTGCCTATAAAAGGCATGTATTCTGCCTTCATTCACAAGTTTAGACTCTCCGAAAAGTTCTCCAGACTTTCAGCCTTTAATTCCTCCAAAAAACCATCCCTGCAAAAGCTGATCCTCAAAATTTGAATTTCAAATCCTAAGGAATTCAAATCTAAGTTTCAGATCATAATTGTCCTCCAAAAAACCACAAAAACAAACACAAATACAATAGAAAACTCAAAAAAATACTCTATTATTAAGAATTTGGATTCAATTTCAAGTTGTAAGGTTTAATATGGCATCATTTGGCTTAGAATTGGACTGCTGAAGTTTGTTGGAGATTCCTGGTTTATTTTTAAGCTAAAATTGGTCTGCTCGAGTCAATTCTGGGTTAATTTTGCTGATTTTCGTGGCTGCTACTTCAAGTTAAATTGCTGTGATTTCCTGTTGCTAACACTGCAAAAATTATCTCCATTTGCTGCTGACTTCTGCTCCTTTTTATTGTGTTTCAATCTCCAGGTACACTGTTGGTCTATTCTCTAATGTACATGAACACTTGTGAGATCAAATAATGAAGCATTGCACTACATGACTCTACCTCTGGTCTAGATGTGTAATTGTAGATTTCATTTGAACAAATATGAATTAGTGTTAAATAAGGACTCTGTGTTAATCAGGACTGTTTAAATTTGTGTTTTGTAATTAAATTGAATGGACATGAACTGTATAACTAGGACTGCTTGTAGACTGTTATAGATTGTTAGACTATTGAACTTAT